TAAGTACATTTCTCAAATATAGTTTAGATACGATCCAAATACGAATGTCATTCTGGCACTCATTCAGTGCATCTTTCAAATACGATCCAGTTATGAATGTTATTCTAATACACATTCCACTACATCTTCTGACTCAGATTAATCGACCAAAGATTTATTCTTATACTTCTCTCAGTTACAGTTAAGCTTCAACTTAGTCTAATTTCTAGCAACAATTACCTTTGTATGGCATCTATAATCCCATCTCTGACAACTCTCCATCATCTCTCCAAATGTAATATTTAATCCTATTCCCGACACAATCAACTAACATATAGTCGAGTTTAAATTTCTGGGCACTTTCGTGTTCAATCATTTTCCCCCCTTCAAGTCACGAATGGCGGACTCGCTAATATAACTCTTCAGGTATAAGAAGATTGAACAGAGGCAGTTGTTGTACCCCAAAATTTTCCCTCTCTTTTCTCAAGACATTTTTCACAAGATCTTCAATAGCTCAAGCTTGTACAAGTATGGACTAAGTCAAGCCATCTCCTCAACATTGATGCCTCAAATCAGGGTTTGAATTTTCACAAGGAAAATTGGACTTCTGATGATTCAAATGACTTTCATGGATCATTTTAGACCTTCAAGAATACTCATGTCAAGTTTCAAGTCTTACATCACAAAGTTGCTCAATGAATTGATCAGATAACCTAAAATCAGCTGTATTGGGTAAAAAAGCCAACTGTGGTCAACTTACAGCCAAACTTCAATATTTTTGACAAATATCAACATTTTGAAGTCATAAGCATCAATTGGTCAAGTTTGGATCATAATTCCTCAAGAAAAATGTTCAAATCATCAAAATGGCAAAATGGTCAAAATTAAGGTTTTGATTGAGAATGAATGATTCTTGACTTTTGACTTAATACATGACTTATTGGTTTGAAATATGATATAAATGATTCAAGGACATCATTTTGACCTAATTTCGTTGCTCAAAACATTCCTCAAGATCATTGGATTGATAGATGAAATTTGGTCAACTGATGAAAAAGTCAACTGATACACCAAAAGTCAAACTTTGACTTTTTGGTCAATATTAAGTTTCAAAGATCAAAATTTATCAAGACATTCAAGAATATCAAGCTTGATCATCAAGAAGTCAAGAAAGTCAAAAGTCAATTTGAAAACTCAAACTTTCCAAGACTTAAAAATTTTTCTAAGTGTCTTATACATGTTTGTTTCATAACTTCATACCAATTTTTCACCATGATGCAAAATTATTCAAAGGAAACTTTCAACATGGAATTTGTAGATCTTGATGAATTCTACAACTTTGTATTAGAGGCTTGATGTCCAAAAAATTCTTAGATTTGAAGATATGAGTCCATGAAGTCATGACATTGTTATCCAAGACTTAGAAATTTTTAACAGGTTTTGGTCAGCTTTTATCTCAACTTCTTGGCCAATTTTCATCAAGTTCCTATTTTAGTTATCCAAAATGGTTAACATGAAAGTTGTAGACAATGCTTCAAGCTTTCCAAAACATTCAAGAGCATGAATTTATCATACTTGAGCTAGGAGATTCAAAGGCATGAAGTTGGGCATCCATTCTTGATCTGCAAGTCCTTTTGTTGAAGAACACATGATCCAATCTACATACTATATTGCATAATCTTATGTTGTAGGCCTTCTTTCTTGCAAATCTCTCCATAATTTAACATTTGCACAAAAGCTTGAACTATTACCCAAGAGATACAAGACATTATCCAAATAACTTGCCATTTAAGGTAAAAAGTTACCATTGCTATTCTTGAAAAACAAGCTTGTTGGTACAAATTTTTCTTGAGCCCATACCTTGTTTGCTTCTGATTTTACTCCACCATAAATCATGGAAAGTATCCCCCTTTATACCAGCAACTTTAGTACTTCATCTTGGGACTATGGAGAATTGACATAGTTGATATTTGCATCCCAACCAAACCATAACATGATGTCTTACAAACCTAATTAGCTCTTGTTCCCAAACCTCTTGCCTTTAAATAGAGGGAGCATTTACAAGAGAAGGGGGAGAAAAATAGAGAGCTTCTTGTGTGTTGAAAAATCCCCAAACCCCCCTTTACTCTAAAAACTGGAACTGTCCATAAAAACCTCCATCTTTGAGTTTGAAGTCCAAACCCTTTGAACCTCTCACACCTTGCAAGTTCTGTCCAAAAAAAACCATCCAAACACTCCACATACATCATATAGAAGTTGTCCAAACTCAATAATAACTTTTGTAACATCACTATTTTCCAAACTCAAAAACAGTCACCTGCAACTTGACTTCTCCAACTCAAAATCAAAATACAAATTTCAATTTCAAGGTAAGTTTTCTTGACTTTGAACTCTTAATACAAACATCATTAGTGGTTCATTTGTGAAGATAAAATGTAGATATAATTGCCTTGAAGCTAATCATATGCTTGCTTTTCATTTTCACAAACCATGTGTTGACAACTGACTTTTACATGTAGCAGAACAATGTTAGAAGTAAAAAACAGCAGTATGAGTCGATGCATAACACTATGAGTCGACACATATCATGTACAAAACAGGTTATGAGTCGATACAAAACGCGTATGTGTCGATACAAAGCAGTATGAGTCGATACAAACTCTTATGTGTCGACTCATACTGTGTTGTTTTTTACTTTCAAGGGCAAGAAATGAGTATGAGTCGATACAAAACGTGCATGTGTTGATACAAAGCAGTATGAGTCGATATAAACCCTTATGTGTCGACTCATACTGAGTTATTTTTGACTTCCAAGAGCAAGGATTGATTTATATCAATCATAAAAGTTTTTGTATCAATAAATAAGTGCATGTGTCAATACATAAAATTTTCGTATCAATACATAAGTATATGTGCCAATACATAAAAGTTTTCTTAAAATAATTTTTTCTTTTTTTTATATTATCTTTATATTTCTTTATAATTTTATTGTTATTCATTATTCAATATGGTTATAATAGTGACTTAGGCTTTAATTACTTGTCATCTCCCCATTTGTAAATTTATACCCCCATCCCCAAATGATGTAATAGTGTAGAATCTTTATATTCTGCAATTTATCGCTTTCAAATGCAAATGCTAGTAATTAGGATTTGTATGGAAAGACTTAAAATCAACAAGTAAACAATCCTAATTCAAGACAAAAATATATGAAATCAATACACTCGCACACGCGCACCTCTAGGGTAATCCACACTTGTTGCCTCGGATTTAAAAAGTCATGTCCCTCGAACGTGGGATACTTTAGCAATGATCCTCGAATACAAGATCGTAGTCCCTCGATGACCCTTCAAATGTTGCCTTCGGTGACTGTATGATGACCCACGCTCGTCCCTTCACATCCAATGATAAAGCTTATTATCAATCAATGATAAGATAGCAATATCTAAAGGATGAGGAAAAGAACCAAGACTTTTTGAGTAGGTAGAACGTTCATAGTTTTTTGCTCACAACCATTTTCAAAACATCTCTCAAAATACACCAACACTTTCAAATGAAATATTTTCAAAAGTCAACACTTTGTATGCATTCTTATAGAGACGAGAATCATTACAAAGTTCGCCTAAGCGAAGGAACTTTTCAAAAATACTTTCAAAACCATCACAAACACATTTCAAACAAAGCATTTCAAAGTGAGATAGCAACTAAGAGCCCGTAGATAACTACGGATGAGTTGTTTTGACTTGATGAAGTTATTTAGAAGTATCTTAATAAAGATGTTTTAAATTATGAATTTCCACTACGAGTAAGTTGAAAAATTATGGTTGTTAAACATGTTTCTGCTGAGACTTTCAATGTGAACTCTGATGATGATGGAGCTTTCCATGATGAATTTGATGTTAAGGAAACTATAATTAAACTCATTAAAAGGGAAACTTCAACTAAGGGAAATAAAGGAGCTTGTTGTGCACTTGAGGATGCAATAGTTTTTGTTAATATCTTGCCTAAGCCATCAACTTTGATGTCGCCTCAGTCGAAAAAGCTTTTAAATCATATGAAGAAATATTGTACAAATGAATATATCACTCTATTTAATCTATGTAGAGAGAAATAATGGATTCATTATTCATTGAAGCATATAAGCACTTGTTTGATTCTCCATTTTGACTTAATACTTTCATTTTTTATAAAGAATGTAACAAAATTCTAGTTTAATGCCATTAAATTCAAGACTCTATTTATATGAAATTCATGTATAGTAAATAATAGGTTATGGTCTAGTAAAATGTGATAAAATTTTGATTCGGATCCTTAATTGACTAAAAGGCTTCAATTTAGTCCTTTGACTAAATTGTTTACTCACTATTTTGACTTCTGTCACGCTGTCATGCCACATCGTCACAAATTTACGTGTTTTTCAACATTTAACATAAATGATTAAGTTGGTTAATAAAATTGTTTTTAAGAGACTAAATTATAGTGTTTATTAGATAAATGACTAAAGCGAAACATGAAATTAAATGACTCCTTTACTAATTAAGTCTTTTCTATTAGATAATTCAACTTGTCTATTACTTTGTGGATAATATTAATAAGTTGAGGAAACTTTGTATTTGAAACCATATTTGGCCATTAAATCCTCAAACAATTTATTACAAAAAAAAAAAACATTGGGAATGAGTGTGAAGAAAATGAAGTAGAAAATGAAAAGATAAGAAAAGTTGAAGAAAAGATTGGAGTGATAAAGAGGAAGAGGATGAACTATCTTTCAAACTTAATTTTTGAGACAATTTTTAGAATACACCTTTAAGATAAATTGTTAACATTTTTGCTATATATAAATATAAAGCAATGAAATGAAGTTTATTTTGAGAATCATGGCTTCTATATATGGTGTGAAGAATCTCAGCAACTCTGTTCAGCCTTTTACATATATACAATCATTTACATACATTCATATATTTCTAGTTTCTAGTCATTTGTTTTGTGGAGAACAAGAGTGGTAAAAAAATCCAGAAACATTAATCATCTATTTGTGTGAACTCGAGTGCATTGGCATCAGGATCGCGAGTAAAGATTGCTGGTCTTCCAGAATGGCTAAGCGTGTAGGGTATACCTACAAACAAAATTGAAAAACCAGAGAATCTCAAGTTTTGTTAAGTTCAATATAACTCTAGTTTAAGACTCTTGTTTAAGGAAAGGGAGAAAAAAGAAGGAAATACCAGCTTTATCAAGGATTGCTTTGAGCTTAGAAACATCTCGAATTGCAATACAAGTGTGACGATCTCGACCACCGTGTTGAGGTCGTCCGGTTAAAGGGTCTGGATTTGGAAGTTCCATCAAGTGAATCATTTCAGACCCTACCCACAACCAAGCACCTCGGTATGGAAGTTTATCATGTGGCCTTGCTTCGTTTATCTTAAGACCTATGTATGTATTTCATTGAATTCATTAGTTGTTATCAGTCAATATAGTTTTTCCAGCAAGAACACAGAAAAATGTTGTGCTGCAGGGTTCTTACCTAGAATGTTTTGATAGTAGTCAAGAGATCTTTCTAGGTTTTCACATAAAACTCCAACATGGTGAACATTAACAACTCCATAATCTGAACAAATACCAATTCAAAATTTATATGATAAATACTTATTACGAAAACTGTTTATCTAAATGGATTCTGAAATTCTCAATGAGCAAGACCTGGTTCATTTTCAAGCACATCCCCTTCAACCGCAGTCTGAGCTTTTACTCTCATAGCGGGAACATTCAATCTCCCATTTCTTACACTAACCTGCTGAAATTTGGGCGAAAACCTAACATAATTCAACTGCAACATAACAAGGAAAAAAAAATAATAGATTGATGAAAAATAGAAAGAAACGCTAGGGTAGAAATTACAAAACGTGAGATGAGATTGCGGATTATGAAATTACCTTTTGGTGTAGAGGAGAGATAAATGAAGATACTTTGAAAACGGACGCCATGGCACACCAAGCATTCAATAACTCATCTATCTGGTTTGTCTTATATACTGTTGATTGGCTCACAGATTTGAGGGTTAACAAACACCAAACTGTGGCCACACGTTTGGGAATGATGGAACTATGCTGTGATATACACTCTTTTTCTTTTACATGAATCATGTGGGAAAATATAACTAATATAGTTAACAAAAAACTAAGTTATAGTTAATTAATTATTTTCAATATAATTAGTTATATTTTGTAAGGAATTAGGCTTGATTGTTTTAGTTTTTTTAAATGGTTTTATAATATTATATGTTTTTGTTGAAAAAATATTATTAAGATCTTTTTTAGATTATCGAGTAAAAAATTGATTTAATTAATTATTTATAAAATATTATTTTAGATATTACAACATTTTGTTATAGTTTTTTCGATGTTAAAATTAAAAATGAAAAGTTAAATTTAAATAGTTTTTCATGAAAATTATTTTTGACATATATATATATATATATATATATATATATATATATATATATATATATATATATATATATATATATATATATATATATATATATATATATATATATATATATATATATATATATATATATATATATATATATATATATTTAAAAAATTTGTAATTTTAAATATATTTTAATTTTCAACAATGTATATTTATGTGATAGATGTCAAAATTAGTAAATATGATAAAATAAAAGGTAGGTCTAAAATTTACAAAAGTACTCGTATATGGAAAGGAAATATTACAAAAGAGGATGGAGGTTAACACAAAAACCCATCAATAAGAAGAAAATCTAAAAGTAGGTATTTTTGCGGTATTTTGTTCAAATTATAGAAAGGCCCAATAATTATGTCAAGAAAATACAGAAAATAAGTCATTCTTGTTGAGGCCCAATAATGATAACAGATACGGTCCGTTCAGCTTTGGTTTCGTTTTTAAAAAAAAATTGTTGTTTTGTTTTAATTATAACAATATTATTAACAATACTATTATTTTATTATAATTACTATTATTAATATTTATTATAATTAAACATTATATATATATATATATATATATATATATATATATATATATATATATATATATATATATATATATATATATATATATATATATATATATATATATATATATATATATAACGTTCACTGTGTGGATTAAACAAAAGATAACACATGCTTTAGTAAGGAATCAGAGACTGTATGAATTCAAGAAGGAAATAGCGTGTAACAAATCTATACATTAAATTCTCCAGAAACATGACGAATCAAGAACAGAAGTAGGATCAAGCCTAAAGCAGAAACAATTTCAAAACCAAAACAGAAACAAATTAAGATGGCACAAAAATTACAGGCAGAATCTTTTGTTCTTTCCTAAAATTCCTAATTCCTTAATCAACATAATAATGAACATTAAAATTATTTCCTAAACAACTAATCCTAAAAGAACGCTATAAAAACCTAAAAAGCTAAGAATAGTGGGGGCGAATTTAAAGAAGAAAAGAGGATTGTTAGAGAGAAAGAGGATTGTCAGAGGAAGAAATAGAAAGAAAGAATTGTAGAATAGAGGGAGTTTGTTTCTGTCGCCCTCACCAAATCCATCAGCCTAGCGTTTTAACATCTGAAACCCTAGCGCCGCCATTGTGTCATTACCATTGCCGATGTACCTGAAAGAGGAAGGGTTAACGATTAACAGAATTGAAGGAAGACAAACAGATTCATAAAGGGGGTAATGAAAACCTAGCTTTTACTTTTCTTGTATTTTGTTTGTGGATAAATGTTGTTATTTGGGGATTTAGGGGATGATGCGGGTTGTATTTGTGGAATCGGGTGATGTCGCCGCTTGAGATAAGCTAGGGTTTTCTTTGTGTGAAGAAGCAGACAGAGGATAGAGACGCGGAGAGAGAGAAGGGAAAACAAGGAAATGAAATAAAAAACGTGTAAAATAAAATTATAACGTGTCTCCTGATCCTACGCGTGCCACCCCATAGCCCTTACCGTGCACCTCAATTTTCAACCTCGCGATCTCAATCAAACAGCGCCCCATCCCGCGCGTCCATGATATCCTCATACGCCCTCCCACACGGAGTCAACACGGACTCCCCAAAACTTGGTTGGGCCTGGCTGATATCTGAATGCACCCCTTTTATTGTTTTTACTAATCAACGCAAAAACATACCCCCTTACCTTTTGGGCCTCAATTCAATATCTCAATTCAGGCTCATGTTGTTAACACCCTCATTTTTACTACCTTAGTATGATTTACACCCCACGTCTTTAAATTATTTTCTTTTTATTTTACTATATTTATGATTTTTATATTTTTCTATTTTTATATATTTATAAATTATAATATTATATTAACTATTATTTTTATAAATCATAATATTTTTCCTAAAAATGTATTCAAAAAATATATTTTATTTATTGCATTAAATTAGTTTTTTTAATCATGCATTTAAATAAGATATTTTCTACGATTAATACCTTAAAAAATATCCAACCAAACACCAAATCATTTTTCGTAAATAAATTAATTCAATAATTAATTTTCGAAAAGGATTACGAAGCGTATTTTGATTAACTGCGCACTTAGTCCAAAATCTACATTATTCACACACTTGGACTAAGTACAATGGGAATTAAAATATTTGTATAATCCATAAAAATCACAAATCAACTCCGAACTATGAATTGGGACTCTTACTCCTCCTAAGAGGATACGTAGGCATACGACTAAACTCGTGGCGAGTTCCCAAATAAGTAATTAAAACCATATTTCCTAAAAATTGCATTTCTAAACCTAGTATCCTTGTGAACAAGGTAGATGAGGGGTGCCTAACACCTTCTCCTCATTTAGAACCGAGTTAACAATCTAGAACCTCTGAACTTTTTAGGGTTATCATTTATACTCCCTTCCTTAGGATAAAAGTCAAGGGTGACGACTCTGTATTTCAAACCAGTTGCAATAGTTGGCGACTCTGCTGAGAACTCAACTCTAGGTTTAGAAGCCTCCTCTTTTGGTTGTAGGGTTTTTAGGGTTTTTCTTGTTTATTGGGTTTTTATTTCTTGCTCATTTAATTATTTATTTATTTTCTTCCTATTTTTTATTACTCATTATATTATTATATATGTGGTGGGATTTAAAATTTTGCAAAAATATTTTCAAAAACCCTTAGAAAGAAGGTTCGTCTATTAGTCAAGGGGTTACATCAGCCCTATGAGTTTATGTGACGACTTCGCCTAGATTCAGTGGAATTTCACAAAAGGAATACCTCTCAAGAGACATCCTCTTGGGAAGTAGGACTTTGGAATGACACCTATGACACTTTGTACGGCCTTTAAACCAAAAACTCATGATGAGACATTTCATGATCTAGAGACGAATGTTTCGGTCTGTAAAGAGGCTCCACTTAAGGGAGGCCCTTGTGCTTTTCCCTCTAGTGTCATTCATGATACACTTAAGGAAACCACCTTATGGGGAGGGTAGAACACTCGTAGGCCAAAATAAGGAGCCTACCTTCTAAGGATATCTTTCACAAATCCCACTATAATTTGTAAACTTGCAAGGTTCGTCTTTTCTTCCACTATTATCTTTAGCCTGTAGGTCTTCCGTCTATGTCATAATCCCTAGCCTGTAGGGATTTCTATTCGTCTCTCATTTGTCATAATCCTTAAAGAGTTCCTGACTATCTCAATCTCTGAGACAATGTAGGATATCATCAAATTCGTGTCTATTAGTTTTCTTCGTCCTTAAGGAGTTCCTGCTAGTCTCAATATCTAAGTCAGCGTAGGACATCATTATCACAATATCTATCATTAAACATGTATAGGATACCCCTACGTATACCCCCATACTACGTCTGCATCACATTGTCTCTCCATGAAAACATTTGCATACCCTCGAGAGCCAAAAAAATAATTTTGCACACCTAAGCATTTTTCATACATTTCCATTTTTCATCCATCTGCATAAAGCTCATATCTCTTCCACTTACAGAAAACTTCCACCCTTATCCAACTGTGATCCAGCTAGCAAGATTCCTGATACTCACAAGTGAACCTAAAGCATGGCTAAATAAACCATGGAGGAACTTAAAAGAGGCCAAGAACTGTTGAAGGAGGAGGTCCACCAGTTGAAGACTCAAATGAACTTGATCATGCAATTATTACTAAGCAGCGAAGGTAACCCTTCGTCATCCCAGGCGTAGGCCTATTCAGCACCATAAATACCACCACTATGGAAAGTTCCCTCATCTCAACAACAACAACCCTATCAACAGAAGGGATATGCCCAATGAAAGGAAAGACAAAAACTACCACCAAGGAAATTTGATCTACTTCCCATGCCACAAAGTCAACTACTACAACATTTACTCAAGGCATCTTTGGTAGAGCAGAACTCACTTAATCCTCCGAGTGGGAAACTCCCGCCTAAGCATGACGCAAATGCCAGGTGCGAGTATCATGCCAACTCTTCAGGACATACCCTTGAAAGTTGTTGGGGTTTCAGACACAAGGTCCAAGATTTGATCGACAATGAGCAGTTGACTTTTGAAGAAGGGATCCCATTGGTGAACGGTCGCCCCTTGCTTTGACAAATCCAAACAGTAAGAAGAATCCCCTAAAGTCGGTGAATCAACAAGGGGATTATCTCTAGATCATTAGGCCTTTATTGTTTCAATTTGTCATTTCTTAGTTTTTAATTTTCATTTGCTATAAAATTGTATCTTTGGATCAGCAATTCTAATAAAATAATCATGTATGTTTTTGAAATCGATCCATTTGTATCCATTCTTCTATCAATTTCCACAAATGATCAACGACTTTCCATTTTTACTCTTCAATCTTTTATTGCACAACTTTAACAAACTTCAAAGGAGAATAATGAAAATACAAAATAATCAAATTTTGCTGACGTATGCTTTTTAATAGTAAGGATTAGTTGATGATGTAAGGTATTGTTTCACTTCCTAAATAGTGGAGAA